GTGTGGTAATAGGGATTGAATTCAGAACCTTACACATGCTACCATGCTACCACTGAGGTAAATTCCTAGCCTTTTTTATTTTTAGACAGGGTCTCACCAAGTTGCCCAGGTTAACCTCAAACTTGTGACTTTTGTGCCTCAGACTCCTGAGTAGCTGGGACTATAGGAGTGCACCACTGTACTTTACAAATGTGACTTCTTTCATATGTATTCGCATTTGCAGACAATTTTCCAGTGATTTTTTTTTTTTTTTTTTGGTGGTGTGTGTGTGTGTATGTGTGATAGGCTTCTTATTGATTTCTGCCTGAGTTCAGCCTTGCAGTTTATTTACTGTACCTCCATCCTCTTATCTTCCCAGTAGTTCTGGTTTCTGTTTTTAACACCTTTTGGTGTTTTAAATTTCTGTGCAGGCCTTGGTATAATTAGGTGAAGTTCTTTTGTTCTTCCTTTTTGCTTTCCTAGGTAAGCTGTTTCTTCAGAAGGTTTAGTATTAGATTGAAAACTTGTTTACATTTTTAGACTTGCTGGTCTTTGTTTTATATTCCTCTTGAAGCATTTTCTGAACTTCATGTATTTTTAATGATTTTTGACATTTTTCCAGTCAATTTTAGGATTGAGTGTGTGTTTGTTTTTGTGACACTGGAGATTGAACCCGGGAGTGTTCTGCTTCTGAGGTATATACTCAGCCCTTTTTAAATTTTGAGACTGGTCTTGCTAAATTGCTGAGGGTCGTACTAATTTGTCAAGACTGGTCTTGAACTTGTAATACTTGTGCTTCTTCCTACTACATCACTGGGATTATAGGTGTGTACCACATGCCTGGCTCCTATTGATCTTAGTAAAACAAATTCACTGTTGTATCAAAGTGTCCTTTCATTTTTAAGATATTTACTGTTTTTTCCACTATTGATGAGCATATACAGATGTAAGACTCCATTACAACTTGTTGCTTCTGTTACCAGATGGTAAATTCTAGATTCTAGCTCACACTAAGAATCTGTTGTTTTCTAGGTAATAGTCAAAAGGCAGTAGTCATTAAGTGATTAGACATTTTTACAGAAGTCTCTTTTCAAGTATCTGACCTGTCAATGATATTCCCCTAAGAAGAAATAATTTGTGATAAGAATCACTGGGTAGTAGTTTTTTTTTTTTTCCCTATTTATAGCTATAGCCCTTTGGAAAATGTTAGCCAAAGCAGGGCTACTTATGGTATTTGCTTGTATAACTTGACCCCATTTTTCCAGACCCCATGTTATTGGACATTAAATCAAAATTTGACATTTGAACATGCCTGAAATACTGGATTTTTTTTTTTTTATTCAGCAAGTATGTGTCTACTCTGTTCCAGGCATTGTGCTAAAGTATTGTACTAGGTGGAGCTAACAGTCTAGTGGGGAAGACATATGCATAGCTTTATTTATTTTTGGTACTGGGGATTGAGCCCCAGGGCCCTTTTTTTTTTTTGGTACCAGGGATTGAACTCAGGAGCACTAGTCCACTGAGCCCAATCCCCAGCCCTGTTTTGTATTTTATTAGAGACAGGGTCTCACTGAGTAGCTTAGCACCTTGCCATTGCTGATGGCTGGCTTTGAACTGGTGATCCTCCTGCCTCAGCCTTCCGAGCTGCTGGGATTTACAGGTGTGCACCATTGCGCATGGCTGCCCTTTTTATTTTATGAGGCAGGGAAAAAAAAATCAAGATTTTTATGTTGGGCTGAACCAACAGGGTGAGCTATAACTGTAATGAGAGAATTTCAATAGCAAGTTGAAACAGCATCAACTTTGTAGCCAGGTTGGCATTTTAAAATCTTGGGTTATATATAAAGATGCCTTTTAAAGGAAGAAAGTTGTTTTATATCTGAACAATATAACCAAGAACTTAGTTTGAGAAACACTGCATTAAAAGTAGAATGTAACCACTAAAGCTGTTACTTGAAAAAGTGAACAAAATTTAAAAAGAAAAACAGAAAAAAAAAAAGTGGTTACTTGATAACAGCATGATTGTAAATTGAAACTGGATCACTGAATTGAAACTGCAAGGCTGAACTCAGGGGTATGGCAGTATTATTTTTAGATTATCATATAAAAACATTTACAAGTTCTCAGCAGTCCTTTTTTTTTTTTTCCCTCTTCTCTGTACTGGAGGTGGAACCCAGTGGTACTCTACCTTTGAGCTACATCTCAGTCCTTTTTATTTTTGAGACAGGGTCTTCCTAAGTTGCTCAGGTTGTTCTTGAACTTGGGATCCTCCTTGCCTCAGTTTGCCAAGTAGCTGGAATTAAAGGATGGACCACAACACCTGGCTTTAGCGTTTTTTATAATAAATCTCCTGACCATTATAGGTTAGATCCACTCCATTTTGAAAAACTGTTATGAGGTGGGCTGGGGATGTGGCTCTCAGTGGAAGCCCTGGGTTCTATCCCCAGCAGGAGTGTGGGAGGAAGGGAGGGAAGCAAGCAGGCATGTGGTCACTCATGCTTGTAATCTCATCTGCTCTGGAAGCTGAGGCAGGAGGATCACAAGTTCTCAGGCCTGTCTAGGGGCAACTCTTAGAAGGGGCTGGGGATGTAGCTCAGTTGTAGAGTACATGCCTAACATGCAACAGGCCTGGGTTAAATTCCTCTTATTGCCAAAACAAAACAAACATGTTAATATGGGTAGCTTACCTCTCACTTTTTTTTTTTTGGTATTGGGGTGGAACTTGGGGTTTTATCACTGAGCTACATCTCTAGTCCTCCCCCCACCCTTTGAGACAGAATCTCACTAGTTGCTGAGGATCTGGCTGAGATGCTGAGGCTTGCCTCTACCTTGTGATCTTCCTGCCTCAGCCTCATAATAGCTGGCATACAGGCATGTACCACAGCATCCCAACTTTACCACTTACACTTTTAATGCAGTGTTTCTTAAAGGAGATATAGTGCTGAATCTTGAATGTTGTTTTCTTAAATATCTGGTGTTTTGTAATGTTTGCCTGGAATAGGGAAAGAGTACCAAAAAAAAAAATTTTTTTTTTCAACTCCCCTTCTTCCATCTAATTTGTTCTCACAGATTTTTCCCAATTAGAGATGTCATTTTGGGATGCATGGCTGTTAATCAGTCATTCATACCTTAAGAACAAATGTATGAATGCTACATCAACATAAATTTTGTTTCATAAAATGAAAATTTTGTATGAAAAAACTGTAGACCCATGAGAAGGCATTCTTGGATGAGGTGGGAGATTCTGATAAGGTAATTGTAGGAAAGAGGTTCTTGGAGTCAGGGAAGAGGAGGATGGCATTGAAGTGTTGCTTTTCAATTTTGCCTAGGGTCTTGAATGCTTTTGCTGCTAGTGCCTCTATCAGGGGTTTTAGAACAATTCCCGAAGTCTGAATTTTAGTTCTGTAGTCTGGACTATTCCAGCACAATTACCGTACATGTTGTCATCTATTATCTCCTCAGGAAGTGCAGAATGGTCCTTCCCTTAGGAAAGTAGGTCAGATCAGTCCAGTTGGCTCAGTGTCCTCCTCTTGACTCTTGCCTTTCAGTCTCTTCATAGTCCTTCATAGTGTTTTGTATTGTCATAAAGCACATGTGGGTTCGAAGTATTTACTAATTCTTCTGAGAGTGAAAGCAGTTTTTAGGACATTGACCATGATTTTTGTATGCCCTGGCCACACCCACCCCCTTTTTTTCTGTCATTTTAAACGCTTCCCTTTTACAGGCATGTTAGTAGTACAGAAGATAAAAATGGTAGGTAATGGATAGAGGAGAAAGAAATCTAGTTTTTGACATTTAATTAGGAGAAATACAGACCATTAACTTAAGCCTGACACATAATAGTATTTTCTTTGCACCCCATAGCATAAATGTCTTGAAGAAACAAAAACTGGATACACAGGATATAGGCACTAAAACCCAGATAATACTTTTGCACGAATTTCTCGCTTCCTTATATTACTGCTTTATCACATCTTTCCTCTTTATATCAGACAGTTTAGTGGTAACTCCTCTTCCTTTCCAACACCTGAGTTAGGGTTTGGGTCTTCTCCCTATTTTCCTAGTGTTCTTAGGTTGTGGATTTTGCAGACTCAACCACCCTTCTCTCAAGATCTGTCCTTCAAGGTTTCCCCGAAGCTGTGGCGCTTTTCAAGCCCCCAGCACTTTGGAGAGGAAGTCCTTGGATTCTTGTGATGGGCCTATGAAGCCAGGGGGTCTGCGGAGCCCCGTGTGGGTGTGGCTGGGCGAGGCAGGGGCGGGGCCTGCAGGGAGCCGGAGGGAAAGGGTGGAAAGCACAGCTTAGAAAGGCCTGGCGGGCAGAGGTTTCAGAGTTTTCACGAAGGCTTCGAGTACGAAGCTGGGGATTTGGTGCCTTCCTCCCTGCCTTGCCTTTCTCGATTCTAGAAGCTTCAGTTGGCTTTTCTGGGTTGCTGGTACCAGGAAAGGCAGCGGCTTCGGCTCCGGGGGCGGGTCCCAAGGGTCTCGTTGCTGCTCCGGGGCCGTTTGGCCTTCTGGCGTTGGGGGAGGGGCATGGGAGTTGCTGCTCGCGCCTCTCTCTGCGCCTGCGCGGCGGGCTCTGCGCGGGTAGGAGCGCGTGCGCGGTGACGTGGACGTCCGGTGCGCGCGCAGGCTCTTCAGCTGGAGCGGACACACGGTGTGCGAACCGAAGAGAATAACCCGCCCCCAGCGGGATATGAAGGACTCCGGGTGAAGCCGGCCACGCCCCGCACGGTAACTGTCGGGCGTGGGTGGAGGGCGTCGCTTTAGTGTTGGCCCGATTGGAGTTTTTCGAGAGTTTGAAGCTCTTGTGTGTTTGAACGGCTTGAGCAGCATTTTACTGAGAGATCTTCGCACGCCCCGGCCAGGCCAGGCCTTGCGCGGGGCCGCCCTTGGCGCGCGCCTATGGTCCCTTAAGCGAGGCTGCGCATGTCACCTCGCCCTCGTCCCCAGCCTCACTTCCGCGTCGCGCTTCTTACTAACTGGGAACATCGACGCCAAAGAAGCGGCCACGAGGCGGGCGGGGTGAGAAGCGTCCGTGGCGCGGCCCTGCCCTCGCGTGCGTGGGGCGCAGCACCGCATGGTGTGATCCGCGTGAGCATTCCAGTCCGGCACTGGGCTCTAGGTCGCCTGGTGCACTTTGCATTTTAGAGCTCAGTTCGCCGGGTTCCAAATCTCCGGAAACAGTGCCGACGTCGCTTTTTCTAAGGAGCTGGGTGCAGCGTTTGACACCTGTACAGACATCTTTTTTAGCTCGTAATTCCTGGTTGTATTGAGGCAAGACTGCGAGTTTAATAAGGGAGGCGAGGAAGAGTTGTATAGCAGTGGGAACTTTGTAAACAAAGGACTTGTGATTCTTACGTGCAAAAATGAGGGCGGGGAAAACAGGTGGAAGAGCAGGTGTTATTTTCTTTTTTCCTTTATGGAATAGCCTTCGACTAGTTTTCCGTTTGTGGGGCTTCTCATTTCTGTTAAATTGTGAAGTAGGTTTCTGCCCTCAGTGAAAGGTGAGTCTGGTGTGTTAATAAGCTCTGATCACCAGTAACTGGAGTTGAGGAATCTGTGTGCGAAGACTTAAAGAGAAGTTAGGGATTATTTTAGTGTAACTGGGATGATAGAGAAATTGTAGTGTCTGCTGCGAATAATTTTGTCTTGCCTCTCAATCTTTGGGAATGCCTCCTTCCTCTGCTAAGGTTGGAAGCTGGGAGCGATGAAGGATGCCTGAAAGGAGGGGTTACTGATGGCCGAACAGCGGGAGAAACCAAAGTACTGTACTTCTGAGGGAAAAACCACTCTCCCAAGCTCGCGTCGCCCGAGCAGACACGTGGATCTTGAGAAGTCTCTAGCCCACCCGAGAGCTGTCCATGCGTGCTGCAGAGCTCGCCAAGCTTATGTAGCGGGAGTCTCTTGTAAACTGCCTGCGCTGCTTGCTCCTTTTTGTGCACGACGCTGCTGCTGGGTTTCAGCAAAGGTGCCTGGGGGCGGCGTGACGGCTGCTGGGAACGGGGCTGGCTGGGTGGTTGGTTATGTAGTCTCCACGGTAACAGAATGTGACTGGGTCCCGCGGTGCGATCACTGGGTTCTGGCCAGCAGCACGTGATCTGTCCTGACTCCTCGTCCCCGGAAGAGCTTTTCTTGCGGCAATTTTTCACGTGGTTCTTGACTAGCTGGCCTCTGCGGTTGGGGGCCCTTGATAGTCGACGGTGTCTGTTCCTGGCCCTTTCATTTCCAAGGGTATTGGATCGTTCTAGCGTTTATTTCAGCCTTAGGATTATGTTTACAACTGTTGTGTGGGTACAGTAGTAGATTGGGTCCATTAACAAAAACAAGCTAAAGACCTGGGGAAGTGTAATGCCCTGGGTATTTTGACATACTTTCGCCAAATTTGACTACTGTCCATTTCTTCCATAAAAGTGTTTTTCAGATTCTAGTTAGCAACTGTCAGGAGACCTGAGCCTTGCTACTGCAAATTGAAGTTTGGGCTTCATTGCTAGAAATAGAAAATGCCTTTGAAGTCAACAATAATAGGGGAAGATAAGCGGATAGGACTACTTTGGGCCAGTACATACCTTTGCCCAGAAACCTGAAGGTGTTTCAGATAATTTTGAAATTTACCCTGTAAGGTTGGAACAGTAAAATACTAGGCCATTGTCTGGTTCAAAGTGAATGCTAATTTGAAAGTGCTATTTATTTAATAAAATTAATGAGGGTACTAAGAAAGTAGTTGGCTATTACTGTTTTTGCTGTTGTTTACTGTTATATTTTGTGATCATATTCACACATTTCTTTTGAACTGAAAATTTTGGGGCCCAACTATATAAGGCAAAATACTGAAATTCAGGTGAATTAATTTTGTTAAAATTTTTGAGTTTTAAAAACATGATTTAACTTAATTATTTCCTTATAGTGCTTATTCTACAGTACAGCATTTATCTTGTGAAGGTTGTGGTTCTGTTTATCAATTCAGGAAACTTTGAGAATGTGTTGACCATGATTTGAATATATTTGTGGTTTAAAAGTAGTAGTATTAGCTGGGTGGTCTGTAATCCCAGTAGCTAGGGAGGCTGAGACAAGGAATGTGAGTTCAAAGCCAGCCATCAGCAATGGCGAGGTGCTAAGCAACTCAGTGAGACCCTGTCTCCAAATAAAATACAAAATAGGGCTGGGGATGGGGCTCAGTGGCTGAGTGCCCCTGAGTACACTCCCTGATATCAAGAGAAAAAAAAAAAAAGTATTGATTTAGGTGGATAAGGCATCCCCCCTCCCCCACTAGGTGCTATGTTACTGAGCTACATCCCCAGTTGTGATGTGGAATTTTTGTGTATTTAAAAAAAAAATTCGGCACATGGGAAAAAAAA